TACACATGTTTTGTTTTCATTCATGCCTCGATAGAGATTATCCGTCTATTAAAAGATAAAAGACTCAATGGCTTCTATATTTTAACATGTCATAACACTAAGGATTATACAACCATACAAATTTATTGAAGAAAGCATAGTTGAGAAATTCATCCAGTCCACTCTCTATCTAGTTTGGTAAGATCAGTGAACACTTGAAAAGCCTTTTTGGAGGCATGTTTAATTCACTGGGCTACCAAAATTCCCACTAATCAAAATACTGCTTAAACTCTTTTTATTGTCTTAATCATATCCATTATCCATTCGTCACCACACATGAACTCGTGGACATATATGCAATTAATTAGCTTTCAACAAAACCCCGTGCAATTCTTGGAAGAAATCTCAAAAAACGTACAGAAGTGGTTTTGTCTTCGAATGAAACAACACTATGTCACGTGATATACGTCGGAATACTACTTTATAGGTAAGTCCTGTATGAAAATTCCTGTCCTGTGTGTTCACATATTGTCTAAAATACTGCTTTATTATTATCATCATCATCATCATAACTATTATCGAACATAGCATAATGAGATCTATGCTTTCTTGAAGGATGAACATAGCCACTCATTTTATTTTTAGACTGGATGATGAAGAAAGGTTCTTGGTATGACAAATAGTATAACGAATAATTATGCCATTATTAAGCTAATAAAAACAGTCTACAAGAATTTATCTATAACGAAAACCTGACTACTGTCAGATTATTATATGCTTAGGAAATGTCTGTAGGAAGGAAAGGTGGAAATTTCAAACAAAGTGACAACTTGAAGCAATTTCGGGGATGGTGACTGACTAACTAGCAGTGGAATTCAGGATGCGCATTTCGTCCTACTCGGGACTCGTCATCTCGGATGGATGTACCTACATTCACCAGTGAACGATTGTGTTCCCACTGGGGCTCCACAACCCAATACCTATCGCTGCGAATGCTAAAGAGGTCATCCATTAGACCAAGTCAGCCCAGAGAGTCACTTCTTGTGCAACGAGTGACAGTTATTATTTATTTCCAATTCACTTTTGACTTTCCCGCCTCCGACAACAACAACAACAAGGAGGCAACATGTCAAGAGAAGCTGAATATTTCAGTCTAATCAATCAATCGGAAAGTCAAAAAATGAATTAAAAATAAAGGCTTGATTTAACAGCATAACCCAACAAACTTGTATACAAAATATTAATGACATACAAGCTATTATATATATATATATATATATATATATTCTAATAGACTGTTACAAGCCTCTCTACATGAATTAAATTAAACTTCAAAAGACTTGACAATGCCATTCTTACGTGTCAGTCAGGGTCATCAATACCCGACATTAATATTGGTTAGCTAGAAAAACACACGCATATATTATAACAGAGCCATCATTTTGTTTCTCTGACACATGATGACCAGGAGTAAGTTTTAATACAAAACTCACAATTCATGCCTTTGATGTTGTCACATGTGCTGCTCATTAAAATCTAGAAAAAATTATAGTTGAAATTCAAAATCTAATGTTTGTATGTGTGCGTGTGTGTAATAGGGTAACACGTCAAAAGTCAATGATTGATTACTCTCCAAGATACAATCTGGCAAATACACTTCAGACAGAATAAACCAATCAAGAAGGCTGGCTTTTTGGCTTTAAAAAATACGATGGTATTTTTCATTATTGCTTAGATATGCATACCTCCACCAGACTTACACCAGTTTTGACTATCTGGTTAATAATTTTTCGTATAAGCTGGTGAAAAAATTACATAATCTAAGGGCATTAATGGGTCAGTATCGCTCGATATTAATTACCATCCATATGTATATACCAAATGACTTGCTCCTGCGAAGCTAAGTAGGTGGGCTGTACTGTTTAGACGACCACAAGAATATGGTTGTCGGGAGGAGAAATATGACCAATCAATAGTTCAGTTAGTGTGCACTAATTATTATTATTGTTCCCTTGGGTTCCTAGTGGAACATAGGGCTTCAAATGCACGTCTCCACTTGCTTCTGTCTTCTGTTGTACTTTTCATCTGCATCCATGTTAGTCCATACTGTTTCAACTCCTCTCTCTTCACACGATCTCCTCCATGTCACGCTTGCACTGACGTCACACTCGTCACTTCCCTTCCGGCCTGGTTCCACTTGAGCAATGGCCTGACGCGCGAGCGATATCACACAGTGGCCCGGCCTCCTCAGCGAGCGAGTGTCCATCTCCATCCATCTCCACTTTCTCCGCATATTTGTTGGTTGGCGTTTGGTTCTTGTTTTGTTTTGTTTGTTCCCACAGATTCTTGTTGGTGATTCTTTGCAGCCCGGCCATCTGATCTTCAGTATAGAGTGAAGACAGTTAGTTGTTGATAAAGGTCTGCAACAGGCTGTTCGAAATATACTTTTTGACCCGCCCGTCAAATTTCGGATCCGTATAGAAGAGCTGACTGACTTGACATTTGTACTGAAAATCCGACTGGATTTTGTTGTTGACGCTGAGTGACGAAGATTTCCAGATTGGTTGTTTCAGGTTGATGAATGTGTTTCTCACCTTCACTTGACACAAACTATATCTCCATTCCTATGGAAATGCTCTGCTTACAGATAATATGGTCTTTAGAATACCATCTATTGTACACTAACTAGACATCTTATGGTGGCTAATGTTGATCATTGCGCCGACTCAACGTACACCTGATATCTATGGTCGGTCTGCGAAATTCGGGCTACCGATATCCTTGCTGAAAATTCCATACTTGTACCAAAAATACAGTGTGGAATCAAGCTGTAATGAAAAATAAAAAATAAAAATAAATAAGAACCAATCGCCAACCAACAAATATGCGGGAGAAAGTGGAGATGGATGGAGATGGACACTCGCTCGCTGAGGAGGCCGGGCCGCTGGGTGACATCGCGCGCGTGTCAGGCAATTGCTCGAGTGGAACCAGGCCGAAAGGGAAGCGGCGAGTGGGATGTCAATGCAAGGGTGGGTGACATGGAGGAGATCGTATGAAGAGAGAGGAGTTGAAACAGTATGGACTAACATGGATGCAGGTGAAAAGTACAACAGAAAACAGAAGCAAGTGGAGACGTGGAGTTGCAGCCCTATATTCCACTAGGAACCCAAGGGAACAATAATAATAATACAAGTGAGTCCTTCTTGAAACTGGCATCAGAAATCACCGTTTTCCACTATTACATCCAAGAAGCCTGTTATTATTATCTGTGTCAAGCAGATATTTGGAAGCAGACACAATCTGTTTTTAAGAGTTAGTTTGCAAGGATTTGATTATTTTTTAAGTTTGACCACGAATTGATAGCAGTTTGAGAATCATTGAAAACCAACAAAGAGTACTGCACAGCTGTTTCGTCAGTCTAGTTTGGGGTCGCATCAGCAGTACACATTCAAACTAGGATGAAATAGTTGCCCAGTACTCGTTGATTTTCAACAGTCCTCTAATTGATATCAGTTCGTGGTCATACTTGAAAACAATAATACCCTGAGAAATAGAGAGACGAAATCAAACAAGTAAATCAATAATGAAGCACAATAACATATGATAAAGAGCAGTCATGATCTTCATGTGATACAATAGGTTACTAGTCCAAGTGGTCACAAAATAAAGAATATCCGTCGTTTACAAATGAACAACAACAAAAAAGAAACCAAAATATTCATGCAATTACGAAATATATTCCACTTTTTAATGAAGTTAGAGCCGAGGATTTCATCAAGCCTGATGATGAAATGTGTGCACAATTATCACATACCAGACAGAGTTTAGCGAACATCGAAACAATTTTTTCATTTTCATCCTGAACAACACATTTTGGTCTATTATTTCATGTCATGGGATATGCATACATCAAAATGATAATTCAATGGGACATTTAAAAATATCTTTTATATTCACCAATCTCTAAGCCTACCACCTTTTAAATGAAGTTTAAAATCGTGCAGTGTGCAACAACCAGTTTTGCATTAATCTCATATTATTATAGTTCTGAATAATTCAATTTTTAGTATGCGCATAGTAGAAGCACAAGATGATACAGACTATTAGGAAACGACCAAAAATGAAATCAATATTTTAAGTTAATGTCTGGCTGCAGAGATAGAGGTGTTCATTCCTCAAATCTGTATTTAGTTAACGCTATCGTCATCAGGTAACCTCATTGGACGACTTGTTCAATCTTGGGCAAATCGCCAGTCAGTCGGGACAGTTTATTCGCCACTAGTCCAACCGAACTTTAGCTAAGAATGTATAGATTAAGATGTTTTTTCCCTAATAAAGGTCCGTTACCAAGGCCCCTATCTTCTCGCGTTACATTCAATGTCGCTGCCTTCAGACAATAAAGGACCAGTGGCCTGTAGCTTTTGAAAGAGACATGCGGAGCTTTATACAGGACTCAGATGCTGTTGTCAAGTTCGTAGGTGTCCGAGTCCTGAATGCGAAGACAGTGGTGCAGCGGACGCCTCTGAAAAGTCGAGCAAAGGCGGCATACGACATTGCGGAGTGGATAGATGGTGAAAATTCATTGGAAGGACCATACACAGTCACCGAGAGACGTCGTCCCCTCTACACCATCAGAAGAGGAAATAAACAGAAACGTATGAACACTGACCAACTCCAGAGGTAGATACATTGAGGGGAAGCGAACCGATATCAAGATGCAACAATAGTGGATAGTACCAATAATGTCGGAGTGGCTCCACTTGAAACGGATCAAAACTGAAATCAACATTTGAAGTCAATGGCTGCAGAGTTTACGCTATGGACATGAAAATAATCTCATTGGACAGACTTGTTTTTAACCTTGGGCCAATTGCCCACTAATCAAAACAATTTATTCACCTCAGTTACAATACAATAAACATCATCATTATACATTATTAGTTAGATGATATCATGAAATTGTAGCAATTAAACAAAACAAAACAAAAAATAAAATCAACTTGTCGTCTATAACAACTTACTTAATATCCGTCGTCGAACAAAAGGTACCCAAATGAATTTGACAATCAGTACAGTGATAATACCGCAACCACAACTAATTATAAATACACCATAGAGAGGTATTTTGTCAAATTTCAATACTGTAAAAAAACAAAACAAAATAATGAAGGAGGAGAGGAGGGGAAAAATGACAGGATTAAAGTTGTAATCAGTTAATAAAATAGTGCATAAATGTGTCAGTGCGTTTATGTGTGTGCGTGTGTGTGAGGGGGAGATTTTTAGGAGGCAATACAAGCAAACAAACAGATTGAACAAAAAATATTAGAAACTGTTCACTAGACATAACGCATAAATTGCATACATCTATGCATACACATAAATACATATATACGCACCGGATATATTGACATGCACACATGTGATTACATTAATGCAATTATTACTGCTAACAATTAACAAATTACTGTGTTATATTGCATAAACAGACTGGCTAATCAGTCGGAAATATACAATTATATATTTCTTAGTTATAATTAATTTTCATGATGGATAAATCTGTGATTTAATTGAAACATTGCAGTTGTTCAACGCAGTTTTGGTAATTCAATTTTATAATATAATATCTAGTAATAGACAATTTAACACAGGAGTGATGTATATTCTAATTCTACGCCTTTAAATGGCGTTGTTTAAGTATAACCTGAAATAGGATGAAAACTATATCGATAATCATGAATAGATATAATATTCATGTACTGGTTTCTGTAAGGATTTAGTTTGATTGGTTGGAGGATTTCATCAGGAGCTGACATCAATTAGAGAACCATTAGAAGACCAGCTGGGGATACTGGACAGCTGTTTCGTCAGCCCAGTTTGGGACTCTTCATCAGTACTCATCCACACAGTGGAGTTCGAACCCGGGACCTTCTGGTTACGAAGCTAGCGAGCTCGTAGACCATTGAACCACTGGGAGCTGATCCAATAGTCCTTGAATTCTAACTTCATGATGAAATCCTCCATGCAATCAAACAGCAGGTTGAAGATAAGGCAGTAACTCATCTAAGAAAGCATTGCGGAGTGGTCGCGTTATGTCATGAATTGGCAGGAGTTACAATTCATGGACTGGCCATAAGATCGGGTCCCAGTGGCTTAATGGTCCTCGAGCTCGCCTTGTAACTAGAAGGTCCTGGGTTCAAACCCCGCTGTGTGGATGAGTAGTGCTGAAGAGTCCCAAACTGGGCTGACGAAACAGCTGTCCAGTATCCCCAGCTGGTTTTCCAATAGTTCTCTAACTGATATCAGCTCATGATGAAATCCTCCATGCAATTATATTTTTCACACAGCCGGTTGTGATTCCGAAAGTGAAAGATGAAGTACCCGTACAAATCACCTCTAACTGTACCTATCAATTGAACAGCTCCTATGGAGCCACTTATACTGGCCGTTGTTCTGTGAACTTAATTTTCCGTGCTCAGGAACACTCACCAATGTCATTAAATAAAGGTGTTGTCAAGACCAGCAACAGTTCTACACCTTGTCCATACAGTCCACAAATCTAGTTAACATTGAAGAGCCTTTCTCTATCATCTATCGAGTATAGAATAGATCACCAAATACCTCTTGATACCGAACACTCTAAACACAAAATAGCATTTCAATTCGTTTAAATCAACCTAAACTCTCAGTGCAAAGGAAACAGGTCCACCCAAACATTATTGATACTGTGGCCTGCTGTAGAGCCGAAAATTCCATAAATTCAGCACTACATCCCTTAATTTATCGGATATTCAGTCAGCTTAGTGTTATATGAGATGCATATTATCTCTTTTTTACTGATGCTTTCGAACTCTAATCTCTCGATACTATTGATTCAATATAATTTGTAACACTAATGTTGTTAATAGCAAAATTCCTTTAACTATTACGGACATTCAAATGTGGAACCTGATGACGAATTTATTGAAAAGAATAGTCTTTGTTCACTACTTGCAGTATAAACCTGATATTAGGTGTTGGTTTCACTTTGTCACTTGAGGTCTAAAAAAGCACACATAGACATTTTGCATAAAGAAGTTCACATTATTTACTACTTTGACTATTGCTATTTCTTTGGGTTCCGAGTGGAACATACGGTTTCAACATCGCATCTCAACTTTGTCATATCCTCTGCAGTCTCCGGCCCCACAATTGCCCATAGGCTCTCATATTCCCTAAGTCCTCCTCGGACGCTCAAATCATATTTCTCCACCCACGTTCCACTCAGGTGATCGCATGTCACCCAACAGTCTCCCCAGTGTATGTCTGATCCATCCATTTCTATTTCCTTCAGTATAATTGTTGAGTAATCACTTCTTGATTGGATCGTTACCATAGTTCCTTGTTGACTCTTCTTTCTGGCCAGGGGTCTGATCTTCAGTATGGATCGAAGGCATCCGTTGATAAAGGTCCGCACTGGCCTGTTGGAAGTGCTTTTCATGATGCACGCACCAAGTTTCTGAATCATATAAAAGAACTGCTTTTACTATTTCGCTTGCTATTTCATTGCTTTACGTTCCCCATGGAACACAGAGCTCTAAGCTGGAGCTTTGAAGTTTCAGTGGCAACGATTTTTCTTTTACGGGATAGGATTGCTAGCCCAATGTCCAACCTTCCATTTTTACCGGTCTTATTGCCAGCTTGGCGAGGTTTAGAAGTGCATCGGCCGAGGATCGAACCCCGGACCAAACGAGTCGTTGGCAAGTACTCTACCGCTAAACCACCAAAGAACTGACTGACTTAACATTGGAGTTGAAAATCCGAGTTTTATTGTTTATGCTGAATGCAGAAGATTACCGAACTGATTTCAGAGTAATGTTGCGGCTTTCTTATCCGCATCCATCTTTAGTTTTAGCTAAATACGCTATGATCTCTACAAGACTTCATGAATCCAGAGTCAAGTTCTCATCAACAAGAAAATCAGATTCTAAAGTCTTTTAACAAATTGAACTTCAGCATAGGCACACTTCGTATGAGAAATATGCAAAGTCGAACTTTGAGACAATTTCTTAAGCTTCTTATTCCGGAGGTAATATGATGAATAAAAGATGAATAAAATGTTGCGCAGGTTAACTGTAAGATAAATTACTTGACATCGAATAAAGTACTTAGAAATGATTTGTCATATACAGACATTCTTCAAACGCTAAACACTTTGCATAACATACCTACCGAAACTGGTTTAACCAACTCATATTCAGTTCAAACAAAGATAAGAAGTATTCTTGTGTACTTTCACCTTGAAATGGTACTCAAAAGCTCCTTCTACTGAATTATACACATAATGCATACGCTATATTCAAACTCATTATTCATTGAATAATCAAAAAGATATCGAAGTAGAACAGATAAGTGAAAACAAAACCTATTTCCGATGACAGTGGGGTTATGTAGGTGGAAAATGCTGGTAAATCCTTGGTATTAGATGGTTGGAGGCAATCGGCAGAAAGCATTGGACCTAAGTTTCGTGCTAGTTGGCACTCATCAGCAAGGCATATCTCCAACCTTGAGGGAATTCATGTCCCTTCTGAGATTCGAACCCGCGTCACCCAGCGCTGAAGTCAGAGACGTTACCACTGAGCTATTCAGACTCGCTCTACAGGAGGCTGATGAATCCATTTTATAGTTAAACATTTTGAAAATCTATCCATCTTTTAATTATTTTACTCACTTTTGTTGAATAACGGGAGGAATCTAAAGGAGGTTACCTCTTTCACTTTCCTAGGCAGTATTATTTCGACTACATTATGTTAAAGCCAACCAGCTAAGACAGACATTCATTACTTTGAAAATCAGAATGGAGATCTGATGGTACTCAGTAAACAGAACAAGACTCGCTTTCATCGACAACAGTCTTCGCTTCATTTTATTTATTTATTTTTGATTACAGCTTGATTCCACACTGTATTTTTGGTACAAGTGTGGAATTTTCAGCATGGATATCGGTAGTCCAAATTTTTCAGGCTGACCATAGATATCAGGTGTGCGTTGGCAGGGGATTTAACCTCGGACCATGTGCATGGTCGGCGAGAGTCCTAACCACTGTGCCACCGACGCATGTGATAGCAGATCAAAAAGAACTAGGAACTCTGAGAAAGGACTAATCAAAAATCTGTCTGTCTGTTTTCGACATAGAATTTGCACAAATGTGCGGATCCAAGTCGCCACATTCCGTGTAGCACACAAAGCAAGAGAAGAAAGTACAAGAAAACATAATAAAACAGTGAGCATGTGAGACAAAGGAGTAATAAAAAATACAAAACAGTTCATTGAAGATCATAAGTCACAAGGAGGATGCATCTGGACATTGAGAACGTTTTGAGCCATGTCACCAATTTTCCAACCATAGATTTTTACCGTCCCGAGGACCCGAGCCTGGAAGTCTACACCTTTACGTGGCTTAGACTAACTGTTGTAGATTCATTGACTGGTGCCAAGTTTTTGTTTGGCCGCTAGTTTTTCCAGCCTGACTCCGCTAACATTGCTCGTCGAGGGGGCGATGCTTGGCATACGTAACCATGCCTAACATCTCAGTCTTTGTACTTCACGACTTGTCGAGACCCTTTTACTAGAACTACGCCTAACTTCAATGTTGTCACCTTATTATGCCACTTTCTGTCTGTCTGGATTCAACATAGAACTTGGCACCGAAGTGCAGCAGTTCGAGTTGCCACGTTCCAAATAGCACACAGAGGTAGACAAGAAGATGAGTGAAGAGAATCAATAGAGTTTGACAAGTATAAGAGTGAAACAGAATGGGTAATGGTAGAAAGGAATATGAAAGATTACAGAGATTGAATACATCTGCGCCATTGACAACGATTTTGAGCCATGTCACCTATTGTCTCCAGCCATTGATTCCTAGAGTCCCGAGGGCCCCAACCCGGGAGTCTGCATCTCCCTACCTGACTCAGTTTAACTGTCAAGGATTTCATGGATTGATGCCATGTTTTTGTTTGGCCACCACTGGCTCTTTTCCAACCTGAACCTATATCAGCTAACAATGCCCGTCGGGGGAGGCGGTGGTTAGGCATGCGCAGCACGTGACCTAGCCATCTTAGTCTATGTAACTTTATAACCTCGTCGATTGATTTTCCCTCTTTGCCCAACACTCTACGCCTAACGTCAACATTACTTATCTTGTGAAACCACCTAACGTGAGACAGAGATCGCAGACATCTATGATCGAAAGCAGTCAACCTTTTCATGTCTTCAACGCGTATTGGCCATGTTTCAGAGCCATAGAGAAGGACGGAGCGAACTGATGAGCAGTACACACGTCCCTTGGTTGATAACCGGATGTCACGCCTACGCCAGAGATGGTGTAAGTCAGCGAAAGCAGCTCGAGCTTTTCGGATCCGTGCTGAGATTTCATCGCCAATCAGTCCGTTGGTGCTAATACAACTTCCCAAGTAGGTGAAGTGGTCAACATGTTCTATCACTTCACTCCCTATCACTAAGTTAGGGGTTGACGTCGTCCAGTCCTGTAGCAGCATCTTACATTTTGCAGGGGCGAATCGCATGCCAAACATACGAAGATTGCTGCTCAAGGTGTTCAGAAGACTCTGCATTTTGTCAGCATCCTCCCCTAACAGGACTATGTCATCTGCATATTCTAAGTCCATTAGATTATTCCCTGGTAACAAGTCGATTCCTAAGTCACTACGTTCAGTTAAGGATACTTCCATTAGCATATCTATGATGAAGTTAAACAGAAATGGGGAAAGTGGACATCCCTGTCGGACACCACTGGTTGTTACCAATTCAGATGACAATTCCCCATAAGCCCTTACACGACTACGTGAGTTTGAATAGAGTGCCTTGATTAGTGCAATGTACTTTCTTGGCACTCCCTTCACAGTCAGACATTGCCATAGTACTTTTCGGTCCACGGAGTCGAAGGCCGCCTTCAAGTCAAGAAATATGACAATTGTTGGACGCCGAAAAGTGTGTCTATGTTCTAGAATCTGTCGAAGAGTGAAGATATGATCTATGCACCCTCTACCTGGTCTAAAGCCTGCTTGATTTTCCCTTGTCTGTTCCTCCCGAGTTCTGCTTAGTCTATGCATGATTACTGAGCCTAGGATTTTAGAGACTATGTTCGTTAGGCTGATCCCCCTATGATTATCACACGAGGACTTGTTTCCCTTCTTGAATATCGGTATAATAAGTGACTTACCCCAGTCTGATGGTACTGTCTCTGATTCCCAGACTTTGCCTAGTACCTCAGTTAATCTACAAACTAGTATGTCACCCCCATATTTAAACACCTCCGGAATAATTCCGTCGGGTCCTGCCGCTTTGCCTCGTTTCAAATTACTGATAGCTTTTGTAACCTCACCTACAGACGGCGGACCAGTGTCTATATCCCATTCGGGTACGTGGTGGATGGCGGGGAGGTTCAGTGTGGCTGTAGGCAAGTTAAATTGTTCCTCAAAGTGTTCTTTCCAGCGTTCAAGGCGTCTATCCTGAGAGCTAATTAAGGAGCCATTTTTCTCAGAAATAGTCTCACTTATGAATTGCCTTTTCCCGCCCGATTCTGTGATGAGTCTAAAGAGTTGCCTAGTGTTGCCTATCGCCAATGCTTTTTCCATCTCTTTCGCCTTTGTCACCCACCACTGTTCACGGTCCTTGCGGAGACTTTTAGTAAGTTTCCTTTTGTGCAGCTTTCGCTCCTCATTGAATTCGGAGCTCGCCGGAATAAGTCTTCTAGCATCTATCAGTTCGGATGAGGCAGTCGAAATCCAGTGGTTTTTACTCACCTTTGGATTTGTCTTATTCACAGCTTTTACAGCTGTATCTATAGCTGACTGAATATTCTTCCAGGCTTCTCCAGGGTGAGCACAGCTGTCGAATTCAGATATGCGTTTAGCTAGTTCTTCCTCAAATAGGGATTTAGTTTCCTGATCGAGCTGGGGGCGTAATGGTTTTACCGCCAGCTGTTTCCTACGTCCGTTCAGTCGTAAGCACACACGAGCCCGGACCAGTGCGTGATCGGTATCTACACACGTGTTCCAGAAGGAGCGACAATCTCCTACCGACCCACGCCAACGATAGCTTATTGCTATGTGGTCTATTTGTGTCCAGCGTTGGTTTGATGATGGGGGTCGCCAGGTTAAACAGTGTCTCTCCTTGTGTTTAAAGTTAGTGCTTACAAGAAACAAATGATTATCTGAACAGAACTGTAGGAGACGGTCACCGTTGTCGGTTCGCTGGCACGGAACTCCATAGGTGCCACCGACATCCTTCTCAGATTGACACAATTTCCCTACTTGAGCGTTGAAGTCACCAGCTAGAACGACTATATCTGAGCGTTTAGCCTTTCTCACCAAACTAGACAGCTTTTGGTAGAACTCATCCTTCGTTTCATCCGAACTGCAGTCAGTGGGGGCGTAGGCGGAGATTACGAAAAGGCATCGGCGAGTAGTGCAGTCCTTTCTCCTTCTTACTGATCCGTTCAGACGGACAGCACACATTCGGCTATCTACTGGGATCCAGTCAAGCAATGTCTTTTCTGCCCTAGTACTCAGAGCTATCCCTACGCCAGCTAATCCCCGTGAACTAGCTGTGGCATCTCCTGACACCCTCAAGGTGAATTTTGAAGATTCATCCTGTTGGCCAGGTGGGGTTAGGTGAATAACCACACTTGGGTCTTGTATGCGTGTTTCTGAAACACAACATACATCAATGGCTCGAGATGCCAGGGTCTTAGCTAGTGATGCTTGTTGTCCTATTTGGCAAAGTGTCCTTACATTAAATGCTCCTATATGAAATTGGTGGCGTGGCTTTAGGAGACTATCCGTGGTGGTTTTTTGGCTTTCGTCGTTTTTAGTGGACACAGAGTGAAGAGGGAGTGAGGAGCCATCAAGTAGAGGAGTTGCATCACTGGGGGGAAGGTAAGGTAATAGAGATGAAGATGAAGACAAAGATAAGTGAGGATTAGAGAGGTTTTGTGTGCAAAAAGTTTTTGAGGGCGATTGTTACTTCCCGGCTGCCCACACCGTGGAAGTTGGTTGCGTGACCGCAGAGCCCAGGGGACAACTGCTTGTGGCCGGTCACACGCGGCCTGTTTTTGTTCGTTCTTTGTTGTTTTGTGTGCCTCAGTAGCATACTTATCACTCCCGCCCTGTGACACGGCAGCAGGAAGCGCGGTCGTTGTTAATCCGGGCCACGGCCGATCCGGCATGAAATTTTGTGAATTTGTTTGGATCATGGTATTGGATGGGTAGCTGCTTTTTGTTTAACCGCTATCCAAACAACCTGCCTGGCATGGTAGAACCTCAAGAGACATAAGTCTCAGCCAGTATAGCTTGATTAGGTCATTGCGGTGTTCAAGCCCGACCACCACGTCAAGGTAGCAGCTTTCGGGAAATAGAGCGCAGGCACCTATGATCAACAGCTAGTCTTTTCATGTCTTCCACTCTCAGTGGCCAGGTCTCACAACCATAAAGGAGGACGGAGCGGCTGATGAGCAGTGCATCCGCACTTTGGTCGATAGTCGAACATCTCGTCTACGCAAGAGTCGCGTAAACAACAAATGAGAAACGAGCCCCATGTATTCGTGCTGAATTTCGTCAGAGATCAACCCGTTGGCGCTGGCTGATGGTACTTCCCAAATAAGTGAAGCGGTCAACGTGCTCTACCACTTCACTTCCTATTTTAAACTAGGCGTCGATGTAGTCCAGTCCTGTAACATCATCTTGCATTTGGCGGGAGCGAATCGCATGCCAAACATTCGTAGATTGCGGCTCAAGGTGTTTAGAAGACTCTGCATTTCGTCAGCGTCCTCGCCTAGAAGGACTATATCGTCTGCATATTCCAAGTCTGCTACTTAACTAAAATGCCAAGAAAACACAAATAGACTTGACATACTCTGAGGAGACCATCCAATGGCATAACAATCTAGGCAGGCCCTAGAGTCGAACTCCAATAGGAAAAGATGAGTTGGATGTAGTTCCGAGAGTGATATGGAAGAGATCATATGAGGCGGAAACAAAAACGAATTAGCAACCATGCAGCCAGCTAAAAAAAGACTCTGGAGAACAAGGGTGAAATGTCGATGTGCCAGTGAAATTTTACGTTCCACTGGGAACCCCACGGAATAATAATGATACTAATAATAGTAATTATTGTTGCAAATCAAACAACAAAGATGTAAATTCTTATGATAATTGTGAAGTGAAAACGGATTTAAGAATAACTTACATGCAGGTCCTTCATAAAATATTGAAAAACAATTGACTAGAACTACAGTGCCAAAAAATCCTGGAAGAAGTTTAAGTGAAGGTTCCAGAGGATCATCCTGTAAAATAAATAAATACAAAATATATACATATTCAGGAGTTGATTTCTAGGAATTCGATTTTATTTTAGGTTTGATCATGGATTAATATAAATTAGAGAACGATTTTGTGAAACCAGAGATTACTGGACAGTTGTTTTGTCCTCCTAATTTCAAACTCATCGTCAATATTCACCCATCGAGGTTCACACTTTAGACAGTCAGCCACTGGGAGAAGTTGTGACCAGTGAATTTCACCACCTGATCGAGAGTGAGGACTATTAGTCACCGATCACACTAACTGGTGGTTATGCTGAAATCATGAATTGATAGAAGTTAGAACTCATAGGGCGCTAAGTGGGGTCCCAGCGGCTGAATGTTATACGAATTCACCTTGTGACTGCAAGGTCCTGAGTTCGAACCCCGACAGATGCATACTTCCAATGAGTCGCAAACTAGGACTAAACAACTGTCCAGTACTCCCTGGTATTTGATGGTTATCTACCTGGTATCAACCCATAGTGAAACTTGAATACACTATGCAATTAAACCCCCAGAGGTAAGTTTCATAATACCCACTATTTACAAATCTTACTGGAATATGTGTGACACAACACACACATAAATGCTATCGTAATTTATTGTTTTTGATTTTCTAGACAGGTTAAAAAAAATAAAATAAATTGACTTCGAAAATCTATTTATAGGCTTTGTATCAAAACAAAATTCAAACACAATATAAATTCCAAGTCATCATTATATTGGATAAAAAAAAATGATTGTTTTTGTTAACTATCATACAAACTGGTCAAACAAAAAATAAACGCTGTGATTCATTTCTAAGCATCTTAGTGTATTTCACCGTTGAATGTTGAACGATAATAACAATAATAACGGGATAATTCCAATTTTTGTTAAGTTAATGGTACACCTACTTAGCATTTTGAAGCTTGAGATTAAAATGTGATCTGTTCCAATAACATCGATCGAATAAACAGATCAGTAAAATAAACATTAAATTTTAGAGTCATATAGAAATATAGATGTGCGTCGGTGGTACAACGGTAGAATGCTCACCAACCACGCAGGTGGTTCGAGGTTCAATCTCCAGCCGCTGACGCACTCATTTACCTCGCTAAGCTAGTAATAACACTAGTAAAGAGGGAAGATTGGCTAGGCATGAGGCTAGCAACTCCATCACTTTTACTTTACTTCGGCTATCTCCTACGGGAGGATGAGCCGGCTTCATGAACCATGAAGTTTCATGGGAATTGGGTACGAGTGATGTCCCCAGCATCGCTCGGCCTTTTCTTTGAGAGTGCAGCTCTAGCCTTTACACAACCAAGTGTGACCTACAAGGCAGTAGGAGTGGAGTAGGGAGTCCACTATCCATTGGCAGCCGGTGACCGGAGTCCGGTTCATTCGCCTTTTTGAATGGGGCCAGTCATCCAGGGCATCCAATAAGCCCTTTGTCCATACGTCTGCCGGTGAGCTTCATACGCCAGTCGTTGGAGGTTTGGAATCAGGGTTTAGCCATCTCCCCTAGACTGTCATCCAATGGACAGTCAACCCGGTGAAGAGCGCCGGGCATCCGCTTTTGCCCTCTCACTTTGGTGAAAAACACCTCCGCCACGTGAAGGCAGTGAGTAGGACTTCCTCAGGAGAGGCTATGTAAGACGCCTGTAAAAATAAACACCACTGCTGCTGAAACTTCAAGCCTCTCGCGCTTGAAGCCCTATGTTCCAGCACTGGGAACGTAAATGAATAAAACGAAAATAGAAATATAGGCTAGGATAGAGAAATGTATCGTTAAAGTAGTGTGAGACATAAGTAGTTAAACGTTTTACTGTAAATAATGTTAACTGCATATTCGCATAATATGTAAGTCGAATCAGAGTTCAAATTTAATCACTGCAATGAGTTTTGAAGAGTCCGTGAGTTCACATGCTTCAGCATTATGAAGGTTTACTTATCACCGCATATCATTCTAGCTATCTGATAAAATATCTGTCTTCATTTTCTTCCTATTCCATTAATTTTTGTTAAAAACTGAGATCGATGACTACTAAAACTGTGTACAATATGACTCAGGTTGATCTAAGACGACTACTAACCTTTTTATTCTTTGGTTCAGGAATAACTTGTCACATAGGCTAGTGAAGGAATACAAGCAATTCAGTTAAAGGTGACTACACTAGCCAGGAGATCTTTTCTTAGACAACGATGAAAAAGCGAAGTTGATAATAAAATTATTATTATATCAACAACATTTTCACATATACTTAAGCATGCCATTGAAAAAACTATATGAGAGTTGAAGTAATTCTGCTGATACTGCCTAGCAGTGGAATCCAGAATGAACATTTCACTTTATTGGGGATGTACCCGCTCATTCCCCCAATGAACCATGGTGTTTCCACTGAGACTTGACCCAAACACCCATCGCCTCAAACATTCAAACGTTATCCACTAGACCATTTCGGCTATTATTACTCACTAAGGAATGCAGGTACATCCCAACCGAAATGAGGAGTCCCAGATGGGACGAAATATCAACATTGACAGTAAATTACACCAAGAAAAAGACAATACATAATCCTAGGCAGTTTAGATTTCATTGCAAATGAAGACAGTAGTATACTAAAGGATTCTATTACTATATCGACAAAGAGGAGCATAGTTAGTACTTGAATCAGAATTTAAGCCTACACCATCTAATAAAGCGACCTTACACCACACTGACTGGATGAATAGATGAAGTCGTTTTTTTCTCTAAATGTTTTCTTTCTCAAAAATGTTTACGACAATCAGTCGAATCAACAAAAAAATGAGTGAAACTTTAAAATTGAAGATGTTTTTATTAGTTAGTAGGCAGTCAGACGCCGAAAATTAAAAACGTAAATAAACAAAATAAAATAAAATTCAAAGTTAAACGTGACAATTAGCATAACTCGTGACTTTTTGAAACAATCAAGTTCTTAAATACTATAGATTCAAAAGTTTTAAATACCAATAAGCCTATAAAAAGCCAACAGAAATCCACCATCGTAGAAGTGATGGTACTGATAGCTAAGCAGTTTTGTTTTAGCACTTCACAATGATAACAGTTTATTAAGTTTTCAAGTATTGGTTTTGTAGGAATCTTGTTTGATTGAATGCAGGATTTCATCATAGGCTGGCATCAGTTAGAGAACCATTGGAAAACCTGGGAGTACTGGACAGCTGTTTCGTCAACCTGGTTTGGGACTCTTCGGCAGTACGCACCCACCGCCAGAGGTCGGACCCAGGACCTTCTGGTTACAAGGCGAGCTCGTACACCATTGAGCCACTGGGAACCCATCCAATGGTCCTTAAATTTCAACTTCTGCCAATTCACGACATGTCTTCTTCGATGAGTTATTGTCTGACCTTCAACTTGTTGTACCCTAATGGTCACGGCTTCCCACTAGAACCCCAGGTTAACTGCCTGAATAGGGCCAGTCACTAGTGAGCATCAGATTAATTTTCAAGTATTGGCTCTGTATGGGATTTTGTTCGATTGAATGTAGGATCTCATCATGAGCTGATATCATTTAGAGAACCACTAATGGGAAGCCGTGACCAGTAGGATACAACAGGTTGAAGATGAGGCAGTAGCTCATCGAAAAAGACATTGCGAAGTGGTCGCGCTATGTTGTGAATCGGCAGAAGTTAGAATTCAAGGACCATTGGATCGGGTCCCAGTGGCTCAATGGTCTACGAGCTCGCTAGCCTTGTAACCAGAAGGTGATGGGTTCGTACCATGGCGGTGGGTGCGTACTGCCAAAGAGTTTATTAATTCGCCTGTATGTTAAAATTAGAAATCCATTATCCTTATAGTAGCGCCCCGTCACAATGTCGACGGTTCAGTGGTAAAATCTCGGCCAACCATGCACATGGTTCAGGTTCTCTCCCCCCTCCCTTCACGCGTCCTGGACTCTGACTAGTTTACCAGCCAGTCGAGTGTCCAGGAAACAGGGAAGATTAGGCTTGAAGCTAACAATTTCATCCAGTGAAAGCGACACCACCGCTACTGAAAATCTAAAACCTTGGAGTCCTGTTGTAATGGTAGAAGACAAAAGGCCTGATAAAGGAATGTTTATATACTATTTGGTATCTCTATAATACAGCCAAACTATTTACACCTAATCTTCAACGCACCATTTGCACACATCTTTCATGTTGGACTACTTCTCGCCTTCCTTTATGTTGTATTTCTTTGTGTTCCTTTCATTTCTGTCATGTATCTACGTAACACTGTATCATTTGCTTACTCTCACATCAAATCTATCTATGTTGCTGTTATTTGATATTTTTCTGACGATGAACGTCTCCTTATATACTACTGATAACTCTTAACAGTGGCACAAGCCACGCTATGTTCTACACGGAACGCAAAGGAATAAAGGCGAAGATACGAAAACAATCTAAGGTTCAAGAAAATAATAAAATCAAACTCTATAGAAAAAAAGTGAAAGACAAATCCCCATTCAAACATGAATGAAAACGAAATATGTAGTTCAGAGAAGAGGTTTTTTCGGAGAATCAATTTTCTCCGGCTGCAGAACTGCATTTCTATATACAACTTTTTATGGAAGAGAGTAGTAACAAAAGTATTAGTCACTGCATAAAACGAGTTGAATAAGTGTATTACAGTTATGTAATAAGGTGGATAATTTAATGAATAAGTTGTGATCAGGATTCATATAGGAACGAAGAAAAACATGGAATCACGCCAGAGTCCTTAAGCAATACAAGAGTTACAAAGAGTTAGAGAAGCAGACAAACAAACAAAAAACTCAAGTCAGTAGAAATCAATAAGTTTGTTACCATGATAGTAGAAGTGACTGAATAATTCTTTTTTTTGTATTTAGACCTCCAGTGTCTTTATCTCTATGGCTTAAGTTCAGGCAATCCAAAAGAGATGAAAGGGTATTGCCTTTGCCACGTTCTTTTTCTTCATTTTGTAGATTACTATGCAGGAGGAGGCGTTTATTGAGAGA